ACACACACACACAAGCATCACCTCAGAATATCTTTAAAGTGTCTTGGTATTAATACAAATGCATCGATCTTTCTAGTACACCTTGCTAGCTGGGTATGGGTGGTATTACAGTAGATAAAAATTTAAATTTTATGCACAGAGAATATTGTGGCTACTCAAGATGATAATGAATAAGCGCTCTTACTGAACAAGTAAGATTATTCAATTTCTTCTACAATAAAATAGATACAAAGGCTTTCCAATAAAGTGGCTTTCAAAAATAAATAAATAAATACAGTTGGTTTTCAGTTAAATGTGATTTCCTATTGAACACTTCTAGAGGGGCGGCTGGGTGGCTCAGCTGGTTAAGCGTCTGCCTTCAGCTCAGGTCATGATCTCAGGGTGGGATCGAGCCCCGCTTAGTCGGGCTCCCTACTCAGCGGGGATTCTGCTTCTCCCTCTGCCTCTATTCCTCCCCACCCCCCAGCTTATGCTCGCTCACTCTCTCTCTCTCAAATAAATAAGTAAAAAATCTTTTTTTTTTTAAAGAAAACTTCTAGAGACTCACAGATTACATTGGTTTTTCTTTATCTTGACAATTATGTGCAATATATGTGAAATGGGCACTAAGTCTATTAACCTATATTAAAAATTTTTAGTATGATTATTACTCACCTAATTCCCACAATTAAACCAAGTGCTTTATGGAAAAACAATGATATCATCATTTTTATTTTTTAGATATAAAGACTGTTTCATCATCTTCATCCAGAAGTCGCCCATGTTCTAGTTGCAGTGAAGATGAGTCTGCACCGGGAGATAGAGAGGCCCACACCGAAAACGGCCTGAACAGAAGGGACAGAAGTCCATCTTCTCAGGAGTTGAGTGAAAGTGATGAGCCAGGAAAATCCCACCTTCCAATTGAGGATTACTTAGAAGTTGAAATTGAAGACCAAGAAATCGTAACAGCAGATGTAGAGACCAAGCCTCTGCCCACAGAGGAATGCTTGGAGAATGTTCTTGAAGAAGAAACGGAGAAAGGAACCCAAGTGGTTGCAGAGGGGTTATCTGAGAAGTCCAGGGAACATGTTTCCACAGAAGAAAAAGAAAAGGATAAAAGTAGGCTTTGGGAAGGAAGCACTGCTAAGGTGAAGGACAAAAAGGCAGGTCCCCATAGGGTGGAAAAAGATGGTAAGTATGGCCATTGAGCGGACCTGCCATTGTTCCCATGCATGGAAGCTGATTTGGGTCCTTACATTTCTGCCAAAGCTTGGGAAATGCGTTTGTGATAATGCCAGAGCCATTCAATTTTTTTCTTATTTCTCTCTTCGTCACATAATCATACATGTACTTTCAGCTTGCTGTTTTCCTTCTATTGCATTTTAAAAGTTACTTGATAAATCTTACATAGCTTGTTTCCTATTTTCTGTAAATTCCTTCTGTGGTAATTCTATCTCAAGAATCAAATAAAACAATATGTGTCTGAAGGCAAGGTATGTGTGACTTTTTAGAGGTGATTTAATATTAGAAATACTATTTGTTTTTAGCTATATATTCACTTATAGATACATATACATACACACACACACACACACACACACACACACACGCATACATAGCTAACATTGGTAGGTGCTTACTATGTGCCAGTTCTAAGCATTTATATATATTAACTCATCTACTCCTTACAACAGCTCAGTATCCCCTGAGTTAGGTTCTCTTATTATCATGTCTTTTTTTCACAGGTGACAAAATTGTGGCTCAGAGAGGTTAAGTAAGTTGTCAAGATTATATAGCTCCTAAGAAGCATTCCTAGGATTTGAAGTCAAGCAGAATGGCTCCGGTTTTTAAAGATTTTTCTATTTTATCTGTGCAATAGGAATTTAAATTTAGATAAAAATATGACAGTTTCATAGAAAACTCCAAACTTTACTTTGAGTTCTTCTCTGAAACTGAGTGATTTCGATTTCCTGACCCAGTGGTCACTGGGTGAGTATGCAGGACAGTTCCATTTGACGTGGGAAGAGTGAAGAGTGTCCCACAATAATCAGGTCCCAGGACCTTAGACATGTGGAAGGTCTGATGCCTCTCTCAACTTTAGAGGGACAGTTAAAGGACCAAGTTGTGTCCTGTAGACAGCTGGATCGTGCCTGCCAGATGTTTGGCTCTCACATAGCATCCTGTGCCCTGTCACTCCTCTTCTTCCCCTGTTCTCTCTCATCTGTCTCCCCTGCCAACATGGTGGGCATTCTTCTTGATTCCGAGATCTGTTTTCACATTTTAATATTACTAAAATCATCTGTTTTAAAGCTTATGATTACTTGTAATGTCTCTAACATTTTTTTTAGGACCTTAAAAGCTGTTATTAAACCACTGGGGCCTGCATCTAGAAATTGAGGATGTTGAATAGTTATCTTTCCATTCAATCATTATTATTCACCTTCTACTACGTGCAGGGCACCATGGTCAATAAAAAATGTGTAAGAGAGGGTGCCTCCCATCACATGTTAAGAGGAAGGAGTGGCACCAATAATTGGACAAAGGTCAGTAGTCATTCATAAAACCAGAGAAGGTACAAACGCTATGGAGTGTCAAAAGAAGGGGAAAGTCCCATTTGGTTAAGTATACCTTGAACGTTTTTGTGAAGGATTTTTTTGAGGAAGGCTTTAAAGGTTAGATATGATTTTTAAGATCGAATGGAGGAAGATAAAAGCATTCCAGATAGTGGGGTGTAGCAAATTCAGATAACTCTAGAATATACAGTTTGACAAACTTCGACCCACAGGCCCCATCTGGCCTACTGCCTTTTTTCCTTCTTTTGCACTGCCTGTGAGCTAAGAATGTTTTAAAAATTTTTTGTTTGTTTTTAAAATTTTTCAGTGGTTTGAAAAAAATCAAAAGAATAATATGTGGTGACATGAAAAAATTAAATTCAAATTTCAGTGTCAGAAAATAAAGTTTCACTGGAACAGAGCTATGCACATTTGCTTACATATTATTAACAGCTACTCTTGCATTGCAAGGGCAGAGTTAAGTAGTTGCAGCGGAGACTTCCCGACAGCTCACAAAGCCCTAAGAATTCACTACGTGGCCCTTACTAGAAAAAGTTTACCAACTTCTGCCCTGGGATTAAATACCTCTGAGATTTTCAAAGGGGTTTTTCCATATGTGAATTATGATTCTTGTTAAAGTATATTTGAAACCCTTTTACAAAGTAATTCAAGTCTTTGATCGTGGATTTCATTGTTCAGTTCTAGAACATACCCTGTACAATCTAGGAAATTTGTACAGTTTGGTAAGCTGCCGCCCAAAAAATGTAGAGATGCTAAGTTCAGTAGTAACAGTGACATTATTTCTCTTACTTCCTCTTCAGAAAACTAGATTGTTTACCTGGACTTGTGTATACAGACATCTTTTTGTAAAGTAAGATGTACGTACTGTAGGCTGTATTTAGGTGATGGATGGAATAGAAACATTGGGCTAGAATCATGCCACTCAGAAGAAAGTGAGGTGGTGTTTTTTTCTGGATGTGTGAAATGAAAAGTGTGTAGGTTTATCATTTTTCTGACGTATTATGGGAAGTCTGTGTTCTTGACTTGATAACATCTATAATTCTAAAGCATTTTGTTATCTTTTTATTAAGGCAGGTTCAACACTAGATGGCAAGGTTTGTGACTTTTTATCTTTCTTAAGCTTTAATAAATGTCGCAGGCCTCTTTGTCAGTGTTTATTTTTCGTTAACAGCTTACGACATAACATGAAATAACAGTCAGAATGTAGAGGAAAGTAGATTTAAAAAAATTACCCATAGATGTAGCACACACACAAAAAATCACCTTCAACATTTGGTCAGGTTTTTTTATTTCTAACCTTAGGGTTTACAAAGTTATGTTGTCATATTTTTTATAAAATATTATGTGCTGCTTTTTATTCTTATTGTTATAACATAAGCATTTTTATGTTATTATGTAATCTTTATAAATATGTTCAATGTCTGTATGTTATCCCATTCTGTGGTTTTCTTATAACCATTCCCCTATTATTGATACTTATATTTTTCCCTATTTTCACTATTATTAATAGTACTCTAATATCTTATTACCTAAGGTAATTTAAAATCTATAATTATTTTCTTAGGCTAGGTTCCTAAGAGTATAATTTCTGGATCACATATTAAGGCTTTTGATAAAATTTTTTTCTTATAAAGGATTGGTTGAAAAGTTTAAATAATACAGAGCAGAGAGAATGAAAAGAAAGCTAGTGTTCCTTGCCCCACCTCTACTCTTTCCCACGCCACAGAGTCATAACTGCGAATATTTTTTAGGCCTGATTCCAGAAAAATTTCTCTCTATACACATATATAAATGTATTCATATATTACATATATACATATATCTTTATAGACAAATGGAAACATTATACATTTTGTTTTACCACTTGCCTTTTTTTCACTTATTACTGTATCTTTAGTACCTTTTCATATTAGCACACATAACTGTACTTTATTCTTAATCACTGTACATAGTATTCTACTGTATTGCTTTAGTATTTTATAACTTTGCAAATTTTCTTAAAAATATGTTGCCTTCTGTGCAAGAACTGATAGATTTGTTCTATGACTCATCTTCCACAAAAGAACAAAATTTCTAGGTTATGGAGGCCCAGAGGCAGAGGGAATAAAGTACAGTGGAAAATAAAACATTAATAGATTTAAAAAAAAAAAACATGTAAAATGTTCAGAAAGATGTAGAAGGATTAATGCTTTCAAAACCCATGGATGCATAGACTATAACTCTTGAGTGCTGATGTGAAATGATACAATAAATCCGTAAATATTTAAAATAACAGATGAAGAGAGGTCATAAATAGTCTCAAAGTCCCTTATATGAATAAATATTTCTAAGAAAATTTCAGATAAAATAAACCAGGTCTTGACTTGCCTGATGCCAAGCAAAGAGGTTATGGCTAGTTCCTCTTTCTTGATGGAGTCTTCTGTTAGATGGCTCAGGGAGAGAGGGATGGAACCAAAGTTAATGCTTGAAGAGAAGGTCATGTAGGTGACCATGGTGCATTCAATCAGAAGGCATGGTAAAGAGTGAAATGTGTATTATTTTATTTAGATCTCTGATTAGAACCTTAGGTCAAAATGGGGGCCGAGATAATGTGTAGAAGATTATCTCTGATATTTGTTTGGTGCTAATTATGAACTGTGATTATGTTAGGGATAGGTCTGTGGGCTATAAAATTACACTCAGGTAATGATGTTTTATAGTGTACAAAGGAATACAACTTAATCTGAATTGTTTTCACTTAAGATCATAAGAGTGGTTAAAGTAGTAAAGTTCTACATTCAATACCTTTGTGCCTTTCAGAGAGATAACATAAAGCGATATTTTTCCTTCTATTTTATATGTCTCACTTAACTGGGCTTTGTCCAGTCCACCAACAGATCAAGTGAATTGATACAAAAGATGTGTTATACACAGTGAAGTGGATAAAATAAAAGATTATAATTGCTAGCTACAATGGGACAGGGTACTTGGGAGGTAATTCAGTATGATAGGGCATAGTGTTATTGTAATGTGTTTATTTTTCTCTGTTATCTTCAGTTTAAGCTGTCTTAATGCACTATGACACACTCTTTGCTTTATGTTCTAACAGTAAAACAATTTAGGTAGATTAATTTGTGAAGTTAGTATAATTTATACATTACAAATATAAATAAAATGTTAAGAACAGAATGTAATAAAAAGTATACTGTGAAATATATGGAAGCAGGCATTTTATTCTTTTATATGTGAATGAGAAGAGGTCATAGTGCTTGGCCAGATAGTCTAAGCCTAAGTAATGTAATGGCTAAAGTCATATGCAGTCTGATTATCACGCAGCCAAGTTGGGTGGTCCTGATGAGAGAACATGACAATCATGTGTTGTGAGTTGCGGTCTAAGTGCAATTTCTGGATGAATTGTGAAAGCACGTAGTTATTTGTTCCAATAGATTTCCTCTGCCAATAAATAGTTTTTTGGTTATCTGCTTTATGCCACACTGTTCTTAGTGTGAGCGTGATGAAGTCCCTGTCCATATTGGAGTTTATGTTCTCGTGCGAGAGATGCCTGACAAGTGAAAAATAAACAAGTACTGGGGTATTCTGGCCTAAGTGTAGAAGAAAAACAAATCAGGGTAAGAGGACGGAGCAATGGGTTGAGGAAGGGCTGGTATTTCAGGGATGGCCTTTCTGACGAGGGAACATTTGAGCAGAGACCTGAATGAAGTGCAGGGGAGAGCCACTCTGCCAGCTACAGAAAGCGCGCAGGAAGCAGAGGGAAGAGCAGATGCGGGGCCTCTAAACCGGAGCTGAGTGAAGGATCCGGAAGGGAGGCTGGTGTGACAGACGCAAACAGATGAACAGAAAGTGGCGGAAGATGAGGCAGAGGGAGAAACTTGTATGCCATGGGGAGAATTTGATTCTGAGATGGGAAGCCATTGGAAAGGTTTGAGCATACAAATGACGTGATCTAAAAGTTGCAGAAAGATGATTCTATACCATTCTATACTGTGTGGAGGATAGACGTTAGCTCTCCACAGCTGTCGTCTCTGAACAGCTGTGGGCTTGGGTTTGTAATTAATCCTGGGTTTGTGTGGGCTGTGCTTTGATGCCGGGGGGAAGCAGGAGCATCTTCACCGCGTAGGTAGATGGTGTTAGTCATGAAGTTTGTCATGGTGACTTGCTGGGAAGGTAATTGATTGGTTACACAGAGAACGATCTAATCACACGCGTGGTATTCAAGGGCACCAGGAACTTGGGATAAACTTGGATAGATCTTTACTCTGCCTTTATAGCCTTCTTCTTAAAATTCCAGTGAAAAGTTCTTGGCAAAACTTTCTTCTGATAGTGAATTGCTCAGGGTTATTAGTATGTTTTGAGATGGGATCAGTTTCTTTTGTTTCAAAACAAGCAGAGAAGAGGGGATGAATTTAGAAAGCTTGCCTACTAACATTGAAAACAGTATCCTTGCCACCAGTTTTCAATTATAAAATTATCAAATATAGAAAGAATTGATGGAAATTGTAACATTGTTAGCAAAGCACAGGGACATACGGCCTTCCATCATTACAGGTGAAATTGTTTGTTGATACCTCCTTTTTTTGAAGAATATATAAAAAACATATATCAAAAGCTTCTAAAAATATGCTCTTTGAGTGAGCAAGTCCAATTCCAGGAATTTGCCTAAAGGGAATAGTCAGAAAAAAATACAAAAATGATTATAAGTCATATTTAAAATAGCTTTATAATCACACACACACACACAAATGGAAATAACTCAGTATTCAAATCAGGCAATTGGTTAATCAAATTTTAGTAAAAACTTATTAGAACATTCTATGTAGTTACTGAAGAATCTTTTTTTATTTAATGATATGTGGAAATAGTCACAATATATTGCTAAATGAATAAAATGGGGTACAAAATGCTATCTGTACTAAGAGGAGAGTAAAAAAGATACATAGAGATTCACCCAAATGTTAACTAGTAGTTCTGAGTGGTGAAACTAGGATAATTTTTGTTTTTTCCTTTGTACTTTATAATCTTTTAAAGCTTTCAGTAAGAATATGTACTATTTTCCTATTTGGGGGATACTGTATATATTATTTTAAAATATATTTGTTTTCATAATAAAAAAGCTAACATCAGGTAATAATATTTTGGTATTTAACAAACATCTTAAACTATCCTATATCATTCAAGTGGAAAAAGCGCTTTTCTAAGAATTCTAAGAATTCTCTCCCCTTTGCTTTGAAGGCTGTGAGAATGGACAGTTACCTTTGCTTTTAATGGTCATCTTTCTATATAGAGAGGGAAGGAGAGGAGCCTCGGCGGGTGAAGGGCTAAGTAGTTAAGGACACAAAGTGATGTATCACAGTGCTGGCGCCGGGCTCCGCGGACACAGTCCTCCTTTCCTCTAGGTGGAAACCCTCAAGGTTAGACCCTAGCCAAGTTCTTGCTTTTAAGGTTCAGTTTCAGAACATCTGAGGAAAAAAAATGACCAAGTGAGGCCTTTTCTGGTCTCACACCTAGTAAGTCCTTGATGCTCAGGCCAGGGTCCCATTCTTGCTGAATCTGTAGCAAGCCAACACCTAACTGTATATCTACTTCCAAAAGCCTACTCATCTATTTCCAAAGCCTAACCCTCCAGGGGCAAGCCAGCAGACGTGGCCAGGTGGTGAGGACAGTCCTGAGACAGAGGGACTACATGCATCACTGTCCATTCTGAGTGAGTTGTAATTTCCAAATTATGCTAGTACTGTTTGGCTTCTTAGAGTAGTCTGGTTCAATAGCTGCTAATTGCTTATTTTAATTATTATTTTTTATTATTATTATAAACCATATTTCTTTAAAAAATTTATTGGGGTATAATTGATGTATATTACATTTTCTTAGGTGTATAACATAATGATTTGATATTTGTATGATAAACCATATTTATTTATAGTCTGGCTACCTGGAAACAAAATCCAGATGTCTCATAGGCTCTGATGAAACAAAACTTCAAGTCATTGCTATGAAATCAGACTTGGTCCCATCCCCCTGTCCTACCATCTTTGGGATTTTGATTGCTCCATCAGCCAAGCAGATTTATACACAAGGATCTACAATACTGCTTATTTATTAAACTCACTAGTTATATACTGTTAACATTATTACAGTGGGCAAGATGATATTTAATTTTTATGTACTATGTTTATAAAGTTCCTAAAATAAAGGTTTACTTGATAACAAACCCAACTATAATCTAATTGTCATGAGTTGATGTCATCTCTAAACTATATTATTGTGAAAATCTTTTTTACTTGTTTATCGGATAAATGAGGAAAATTGATGTTCAAAAAAATTTTTTAATAGAATACATTTGAACTATTTTATGTACCTCTTTTCATTTCCATGTTTGTTCTCAAGATTAATAAAGTTAAGTCATTCCATTTTTTTCCCCAAAGACACATGAGGCAGACATTTCACTATTTGCTTCCAAACACAGATGAATCAGTGAGTAACTAATTACCCCTTAGCAATTCACCCTTAAAGTGAGCAAGAGACCACATTCTAGTTCTGTTTTTTTCCAAGTACAGTCTTTGGATCAACTGAATCAGAATACATGAAAGGAAAGAGAGGAAAAAAGAAAGAAGGGAGGGAGGGAGGAAAGGGAGATATGTTCTTACCTGGGAGGGCAGACCTAGGTCTAGTGTTATTCCAGTGAGCTTTAATTAACCAGAAGATGGCATAATGGTAGGTGTCAGGGATTTAGGTACATGGATCATGAAATGATAGGTAAGGGATGTAGACAGGGACATGTCAGAAATTATAGACAAATTTAATTGATATTACAGTGTTGCCTAGAATCATACCAGATTCAGTGATAATACTTAAAGTAGGCATGCTCATCATCATCATGGCTATTATTTATTAAATGCTTAGGCACCTGCTAATAAGTGAAAGATAATCATGTACTACATATATTACTTTAATCCTTCTAATAACTACTGAGTAGATACCTTTTTTTGACGGATGGGTAAACCGAGGTTTAGGCTTAGGTCAAGGAACTTACCGAAGGTAACATGGTTAGTATGGAGTATAGGACTTGAACTTAGGTCATTGGGTTTCTGAAGTTCCGTGGCTGGTTATCAGCTGCAGAGAACAGGAATTTCTACAACAGCTTTTACTGTCAAATATATAAGAATCATGCACTAGCTTTTTTTGCTCTGTCCACGTGGAGTGAGTATTGCGGTCAAATCACTAAAATCTACTAATGGATGAAATGCTCATAGTATAGTCAGCACTGGTAGTCTTAGCAATTTCAAAGAGCAGTGATGACTGGTGTTATAAAAGCCATAACATGTGTTTCTAGAAAGGAAAAAGCAACTAAACCTTGTTTTCCATCATTTCATTGCATGTGCATTTGGCTAATCTGTCACTGCTTCTGGCTGTTGTCTTTTTAAAGTATTTCTTTGCATGGATTTCTTTACTTTGTGATCTGCCATTGTGTTTTCTTTTTTGAAATCACAGCTTGGAAACAATCTTCATAGATTTTTTAAAGAACAAGGTCACATTTTAATGTGAATACTTTAAAATTAACCCCACTTGCTGAAAGGATGTGCAATAGCTCAGCAGTGTTCCCATGACCCGTTTTTATGCCTTTTGATATTTCCTATGATCTCCAATCAGTTGGACAGACTGTCGCTGAGGCTGTGGAACCTGGCAGCCACCGGCACTATGACACCGAGTCTGGTGTTAGCAGCACGAACGAGGAGAAGCACTCGAGGAAGCTGGAGATTGACACGGGTGCAGGTAAGGGCACATCATTACCTAAGAAAGACCTTTAGAAATCCTCTGTGAAAGACAGCCCCCTACCCTTGTTTCCTCCTTCTTCCACCTTTATTTTCTTTCACCTAGTGAATTTGATGGCAGGAGGTGGCTGAGAGGCCGTAAGGGGAGCTTTAAAGCTGACATCAGATATGAATGTTACTATTCTTTTTTGAATATATTAGTGCCTAGATTGGAGGGAAAAAAGGACTTTCAAGCATAAAAGATATATTGGTAGGGATTTTCAGATCAGTCTTATTTTGTAGTCGGCCTCCCAGTTAGGTAGGAAGATTTGCCTAACTGACGCCCTGGAGACAGGGAGGGCCAAGACACATTTCACAATGGTTTATTTGAACTTCTTATTTTTTTTAAATTAGGGAAGAATTCATTGCCATCAGCATATGACCTGGCTCTTGGTGATGAGTATTCCAGCTGCAAGATTGCCAATTAGAGTGATTCAACAGACCATGACTCATATCCATCAGGTCAAACACCCTGTGTCCTTGAAATCAGGTTTTCCCATATTTAGTAGAGGACTTTTTAAAACTGTCCTGATTTGAATATATGTATGTATATACGGGGGGGAGAGTTATTCATTTTATTCATCATATGGTCACATTACCCCCACCTCTGATTTTTAACGGCAGTCATTAAGCACTGTGAAGTATTTGAGATTTTACCCTATTTTCAAGCAAACAAGTTAGCCAGCTACAGTTTCATGGTGTGAGCAGAAGACACAAGATTCCTGGGTCAGAGAAAAAGGACTTTATTACAACAAATAGGAGCCAGAATGTTTGCACTCACGCTGGTTCCCTGAGCTCCAGTTCCCTCTGGGGAATGTGGAGAGGGCCAGGTGGCACCTGAACCTGCATAGACGAGTTACAGGAGGAGCCTGACTGCTTAGGGAATCCAAATCTTTGTATGGTGAGCATTCCACCAGAGGAGTTCTGGTATACCTCCCAAACATTCTGCAATGCAGGCACGGTAGCTGTTATTGATCAAATCTGGTTCGAGCAAGAAAATATAATTTATCATAAACAGTGGAAGGGAAGGATGGAAGGAAGACTGGGTAGGGCCTTCTGTGTGCCAGAAACTGTGCGAAGCGTTTTATGGTTCACTATCACAAGGATTCTCTGAGTCAAGCATTTCTGCTCCCATGTTATGGATGAAAGAATGAAGGCTTAGAGAAGCGTTGTTTCCCAAGTTCATACAAATAGTAAGTGGCAGAGCTGGCGTTCTCATACAGCTCTGTCTGACCCCTAAGTACACACTCATTGCACGAAATCAAATTGCCTGTTTGTGAATATGGCTTGCTCTCTTATAGTCTTTTTTTTTTTCTCGAAAGCCCAGGAGGTTATTATCAAAAACCATGTCATGTTTTCACACTCATACTTCTTAGAAGGATTTCAATTACTCTTTCTCCCTTACTTCAGAAATGTCATGTCTGACTCCCCTATGGTGCGCATGTTCATATAATAGCTCGGCTGGATGCCATTAGCCCTTTCTCTTCTAGAATTTAGGCATAGCATATTATTATATGGTGGCTGAGCAGTTTTATTCTCCTGTTTTCCTTAATGTTCTTTAATTAATCCATAAATTTAAAGACCAGCTTAGCAAAACAGAGGACTTTATTTAAGTGTTTTTCATAACTGACTTTTTAACATACTTTCATGCAGGAATTTGAATAGCAACAGATATACTATTAAAGAGACTTGACACACATTATTTTAATTTACTTTTATTTTTAATCCAACAATAATCCATAATGAGATACAATGGACGGATGAAATAAAATTATTTCAGGTGAATTGGCTACATGTTCTCTGAATGAACATTTGGCTCCATATTTCCCTCTGGCAGCTTGTAGGTACAATTTAGTAAATAACTGCTGTGATGTGCTGAGGGCCACCTATAAAAGTCAACACCAACCCTATTGATAGACCTGAAATTTCTGTTACTTCTTTGAAAGAAGTCACCAAAAGTTACCTTCCAAATATATTTTTTGATGGAAATGTAATATCATCTATAACTGCCTTACTTCAAAATGGTTTATTGTGATAGCTGGCAAAAGGCCAAGAGAATGCAACAAAGGGCAGCTGTGTTTTGTGTTAGGAGAGGAAATGGAGTGATCAGACAGTCCTGGATGGGGTATCAGAACAGGGAAGAAGTGGTGAATAAAATCAGGGCTCTAGGTTTCTGATAGATCCTTGGTAATGAGGAGGGGTGTGGGGGTTAGATGGCTGGCCAAAAAGACAAGCAATACAAAATATGAGGAAGACATATTTGCCTACTTTGTAAGTTTACATAATTTGGAGGTTGGCACACTGGTATGATAATTTCTAGCATCTAGTCTAGTGTTTTTTTTTTTTTTTTAAGATTTTATTTATTTATTTAACAGAGAGAGACACTGCTACAGAGGGGGAATGGGAGAGGGAGAAGCAAGCTTCCCACCAAGCAGGGAGCCCCATGCAGGGCTGGATCCCAGGACCCTGGGACCATGACCCGAGCCGAAGGCAGACGCTTAACGACTGAGCCACCCAGGCACCCCTAGTCTAGTGTCTTCTATAAGTGAGAAAGATTAGATTGATAGCAAAATCATTAAGATGACCGTTTTAGGGGCACCTGGGTGGCTCAGTTGGTTAAGCGACTGCCTTCGGCTCAGGTCATGATCCTGGAGTCCCGGGATCGAGTCCCGCATCGGGCTCCCTGCTCAGCGGGGAGTCTGCTTCTCCCTCTGACCCTCCTCCCTCTCATGCTCTCTGTCTCTCATTCTCTCTCTCAAATAAATAAATAAAATCTTAAAAAAAAAAAGATGACCGTTTTAGAAGTTCCTATCTCCCTAAGTATTATTTGCATTTGGAAAATGTAAATGGTTTGGGTATTTGGCATGACATCCTTTTATTTATTTTGCATGGGTCATTTCAACAGAAATGCATGTATTTGTTAAATAACAAGAAATGCATTTGAAGCCTTTAAGAAACATATTGAGCCTAGATTTATTGAACTATGATGGCTAGTACAGCCAGATTTGCCAGGGAATTATGGATGAGAACTTATGAAATACTTCAAGAAGGTTATTTATGTTGAAATTTGTCCCAGACTACAAACTCCTGTCTTGTTCTCTGATCCTGTTTTGCCAAAGGCAAAACAGTTTCTGAACATAGACGGAAGGTATCCTGACCTATAATACAAATTGGTGTCTTTAGTAAAGAGGCTTACTTTGAGCTACAAAGTTATTTGATGACTAAATCTAGATATAGTAGCTTTAAAATGTGGGAGCAATATATGGGATAATAATCAGCTCACACTGTATTGTGATTGTGTTGCTGAATACCCACAAGAGTACAAGAAACACAAGCTGAGGACACGCATATTATGATGCTCTAGGGCATAATGATTTCTAAGAAGATGAAATACTGTTTTTTTATTACATAATTTTTCTGCAAGTCCTAATATTTCAAATGAAAGTAGGCAGCGTGTGTGTGTATGTGAGAGACTGAGAGAGAGAGAAGGCAGGGGAAGATTAAGATAAGGAGATTTTGTTTGTTTTCAACATTTGTGACGTTCACTTTTCCTTTAATATCAATGTGTCCATTAAATAGATAGCACTTCTTTTCCTCTCGAAGAGCCATTATTAAATCATGGTGCATGTTATAGTTGATGGCATCATAGGATCGAGGAAATGTTTTATATATAATATCAATAGCTTCTTGATATTATACATATCTCATATATGGTTATATAGACTATCTCCTCCCTGGGCACTTTGATTAAAGTAACTGTGTTTTCTAACCTTATTTTATAGCACCACACAGGAATTTCGTGTTGGAGGAACAAGCAACACTCAGCTCGGACACAGAATCCAAGCAAGGTGCATCGGAAGTGTACACACTGGAGAAGAAAGCAGCAGTGGCGGGTGATGAACTTCCCCAGCACGGGGATGCTGACACAAGAAAAGAGAAAGGGGGTGCAGCACAGTGGGGAAAAGCAGTGGGGGTTAATGAGGTTCCCTTGGGGGAGGGGAAGCCAACAGCCCCAGCTTTAATAGGACGATTTACTGAGGAAAGAGAGATCCCTCGGGGCATAGCAAGTGGGGCAGAGGCAGAAGCAGAAGGGGATCCAAGGCTGGATAAAGAGGAGTCAAGCCCCAGGGGAAAAGAAGCCACCAGAGCCGCTGGAGGTCTGAAAGAAGATGAGGCTCCTGAGGAGCCCGTCTTGCTGCCCACAGTGCTGGAGACTGAGAAGGTGGCTGCCGAGGAGGCGCGGGGCTCCCAGAAGGCAGTGCTTGCAAGTGAGGCAGCAGCTCTAGACTCAGAGCGTACTCAGGAGGCAGCAGCCATGAGGGAGACAGTGACACAGGGGAAGAGAGAGGCTGAGAGAGGCGCGGCCGTGAGTGCTGCAGGGTCTGAAAAGCCTGAGGTGAACAGTGAAGAGCAAGCATCTACAGCCCTAGAGGACCTGGGAGCCGCGGGAGAGGCTGCCTCTGAGGGAGAAGGTGGTTCAGAAGAGGCAGTGCTTGGGGGCGAGGAACCGGCCGAAGAGCGGGAGGCAGCTATGGGACCGGGGACACCCTTGAGCTCCTCAACTTGGGAGAAGGCCGAGGCAGCCCCGACGGGGCTTTCGGAGGGCAGCCTGGAAGAGCTTTGTAAGGAAGATGCTGAAAGGGAGGAGATTGGGACTGAGGCGGAATCTAATAAAGAAGATGACAAGAAGGAAATGCTACCCGAGGAATTAGGTGTAGCAAGAGAGAGGACGAAAGCTGAGAGGCCAGAATCACCTCTGGAGGAAACTGAATCTGAGAGGGAAGAGGTGACCAGGGCAAACGCACGGCCGGGTGAAGACATTTTAGAAGAAGAGCACAAGTTTAAAGGGGAAGAGCCGGAAACCGTGAAGGAAGTGAGATCTGAGGAAGAGACACAAGTCTCCCAAAATGAAAGGGAGTGTGATGCCGAGGGCGAAGCAGCCACGGGGCCGTTGGAGTTGACTGACGACGCAGGGCCGCAAGGAGGAGATTCACTGAGAGAGAGAGAGGGGGCCATGTTTGAAGCGGCACCTGGGTATGAAGAGTCACTGGAAAACACAACTGCTCTGAGGAAACAGGAAGGAGGGGAAAGCCCGAGAGAAGCCCGGGACCGCGAGCACAAAGGCAGAGCAGAGTTGCTCCCCAGGGAGAACGGGGCGGCCTCGGGGCAGGACCAGGGGCCGGGCCCTGACGGGGAGGGTGTGTCAGGAGCTCCTGAAACGGAGCTGGCAGGAAGGGGGCAGGCACCGGAGGCAATGATCGCAGCCCCAAGTGGGGCCCAGGAGCGCGCAGCCAAAGATCAAGATGGCCTCGCTGGACTGGAAGGAGGGGATGAGGAAGGGCCTTTGCAAAGGCAGCAAGGAGCGGGGGTCACAGCGATGACCCAAGAAGATGTTTCTGAGGAAGATTCTGTGACGGCAGAAAAGCTAAGTGAAGAAGCTATGGATGAGGAGGCAGATAAAGAGTGCTCTCGGGGGACAGGAGTGAGGAGGAACGGGGACACGGAGGGGGACGGGAGCTTGCAAGGAGGCGCGGTGGTGGCCGAGGAAGATCTCCACCAAGGAGAAGAAGCGGCAGGAACGGCCGCAGAGAAGAGGGAGGTGTTGGCAGATTTGAAGACAGCTGAGGGGAAAACAGAGGCAAATAAAGCCTCCTCCCTGTCAGATGTTGCTGGCAAGGAAACTTGGCACAAAGTGGAGGAGTTACTAGGGAAACCGGCAGCTGCCGAGAAGGTGGTGGCAGGGGAAAGAGCGCTGAGCAGGGAGGAGGTGCGGGCGGTGGAGGAGGTGACGGGGACTTGGGCACCAGAGGCTGAGGTGGGGGCTCCACGAGAACCTTCCGGCCCGGGAGGGCAGGCCCCACAGCTAGGGCAGGATCCAGAGGGCGGGGGAGCTGCAACCACGCAGCGGGCAGAGGCCGTGGGAGAGGAGCCCGGCCCGGGGAGCGGTGACCAAGGGCAGGAGTTGGGTGCAGGCGAAGAATTCAGCCCAGGAGTGTCCCGAGGGAGAAAGTCAGAGCCTAGGGGAGAGAGTCTACAGGGCGCGCAAACGCTCCCTGTGAAACCTGATTACACGGAAAGCCAAGAGAGGCAAGAGCGTACAGTGCAAAGAGAAAAGGAGCACGTGCAAACGCAGAGGTCTCCTTGAACAACATGAAGGCCTAAGAGACTTTGGGGCAGAAGGTGAGTTTAAGCCCGCTCTGTTTGCAGGATTAAACAGAGTCCCCACCTGAGGTTCCCTCCCCTTGGGTCAGGCTCAAACCTTCATCAGTCCCTGCATACACCTGCACCCAGCGGTGTCAATTCTCAAATCTATGTTGCTTGGCCTCAAGCCCCTGAGGACAGGAGCTGGGGAAGACCGTGGGGAACGCACACACAGGGACCCGCTTCTACTCCTTTTGCACCCATAAGTCATGTTCTCTGCTCTGCAAGCACAGCTCTCTGAAGAGGTGAAATCCATGTCTCCTTTCCAGGGCCCTGGAGATGAAATAAAGAGAATGGGCCACAGGGACATACCACAGACAAAAAGAATCAAACTCTATTCCCAAATCCATTTCCCGTTTAGTGTTTAAAAAGATGGCTCTGATTATTTACCTTCAAATGGGCTCTATGCCCTCATTTCTGCAGTTTTTGTGAAGTTTAATATGTACACAGCATAAATTATAAAATATGAAAAATATATACACATTATAAAAATATATGTAAAATAGTGCAGATTGTAACTAAAGGCCAAAATTATTTTTAGCATTTCCTGTATTCCTGCTATTTCCCTGATGCCATCATATCCCTAGTGCCCAGTTTCTACTATCCTGAGTGATTTTACGCACAGTCCTATCCTTTTTTATTATTTTTCAGGATATTTGAAATATGTCTTCTGGAAGACTTAAAGACTGGAGAAAGATTAACCCAAGCATCTCACTCAGAACTTTGGATTTTTACCTTTTTTTTTTTTTTTTTTAAATCCTCGTGCTTGTCTGAGCTGGTTCCCACTCTAGCAGTGCTGGTCAGGAGCACAGTGAGCACCTTGAAAATAACTGGATCCATCTGTAGGACCCTCTTTAGGGGCAGCGGTTCCTAATGGAGGACTGTGAAGCTGTTATGTATTCAACATAGCTAACGTATCTCTATTCAAATCCAATTGATAGTTTTCAAATGTTTGACTTTTACCAAAGATCACCCGAAAGGCTCAGTCCTCACATCTGGGGTTTGTTTAAATTCCTTTTTTATTTATAATCAAATATTAGTTCCGGTTTCATACATTAGAGTTTTATTTAAAGTCTGTGGCTTGGGGCTTTAATGACTTGGTTTGTGAAAATGAGCTCTAAAGGTCCTTCCGTGTACACTCAATACTGAAGATTGTGCCAGCCCTGTAAATCCTTCCAGAAAGGGATTCTATGGCATGTAGATTCACTTACACTTAGAAATATTTATTCATCCTTTTTATGCCAGAAGAGTAAAGTGGCAACTTATTTCAAAATGCCCTTTGCTTTTTTTTTTTTTTGTATGTGTTTCTGTCGTTTTGCTTTCAAAGGTAGACTTAAATGCTTGTGGCATTTTGTCCCTGGGGGCCTTATTTATAGGTCCATTCAAATGTAAATCAAAGTAGTAAATAATTTAGCTGACTGAAATGAGTAACAATAATTATAGCAGGTAAACATTGCACATCAGCACATACATCAACATTCTAGACTCCGGATTCTTTGGTTGATGTCATTTGATGGAAAAGAAACTTGGATTAAATTAGTGTGCTGCTCACCTGCCCAAGTTCTGTTATTTCAAACCTGTGAACTAACCTTGCAGGGCATTGTAAATCAACAGTCAGAATCACTTTCTAAATTACCCCGTTGATATTACTAGAAATAGCTGTGCATCAGTGTGCCTACTGGGGATTTTGATTTCCTTGAAGACATCTTTATTCCTATACCAGGACCCTAAAGGGCACATGTGTTTGGCCATCTTTTCTCCCATGAGGAGATGAAACAAAATTTCCTAAAGCAGCGATTCTCCAGCTGGACTACACATTAGACTTGCGTGGAGCACTTTCATGAATGATTCAACCCCTGGCCCCCTGGCCCACAAAGATTTGGGTTTAATTAGTTTTAGATGGGTATAGACGTCAGGTGTTTTGTTTTTTGGGGTTTTTTTGTGTGTGTTTTTTAAAATTCGGTTGATTCTACTATGTAGCTAAAATTGAGGACTGCCCTAAATCATCATATAATCTATGCTGACTGCCCTACACTCTAGGCCCCTAGGGACCAGGCATATTATCTTTATAGGTATGTTGCATTTTAATAAAGGAGTCCTTGAATGATCAAAGATATAATGGACCTGTGGTTCTCAAAATGTGGTCCCTTGATGAGGATATCAGCATCCCCTGGAACTGCTCCAAAAATACTCATTCCCGCCCTCACCTCACACCTATTAAATTGGAAACCCAGTGGGTGTTTTAATAAGCCCTCCAGGTAATTCTGATGTACTCTAAAGTCCGGAACTGCTCTCATGGACTCTGGATTGTACTGAGGATTAGTCTCAGCTGGAAAACGGATTGCAGAAGCATTGTGAACTTTCTCTCTTTGTCTCTTTTTCTGTGTCTCTATTTTTCTCCTTTTCTGTAGGAAAGGGTACTCACTCCAAAAGTGATGGATTCATCTTGAAGCTTATTTTTATTATGACCGTAATGATGTGTTTATGACATCTTCCAGCCCCACCCCCTACCGAGGATGAGCACCTCTCACAGCACACCACAGATCGCCATTGTCTGTCAGGTTTCATGAGTGGGTTTCATCTACAGTATATCTAATTTCATTTATTACTGAGCTGCATTACTGTGGAGCCCGACAGTATTTGTTTCCTGATCTCAACCTCAATGCTACGGAGCACTTTGAATACATAGCACCTTATGAGAAAGATTGTAAACTTGTTAATTCTATTGAAGAATGAGTTTTGTACAATGTGCTAAATGGAAATTGCATTGAATTATTTTTATATTTAACACATTCCGTCAAAACATTCTGTAACATAATCCTACAATCTGCATGTGGGTTTAAGTGTGAAATTCAGTGTTGGGATATTTTGATTAAATGAATTTCTTTCTCTGCAAATACTATGTTGATAAAACTATTTGCATGTTCAACTGAACTGATTCCCCCCTAGTTTCATTATTAAAGCATAAATAAGCTGTATGTTTACAAATAAGGCATGTAAATGATTCTTTATAAATAAGACTAGACTTTGAAAAATCTTCTTTGTCCTTTCCTTATGAATTTAAACTCTATAAAGCAGAGAAAGTTTGTTTCATTGGGTTGTTTATATTGACTGTCTGCAAACACGTCTGCATTCTTACATGTCTTTCCCATACATGAGATAATGTCAGAGAAGAAAATTATCACCATTTCATGAATAAGTAAATAAAAGCTCAGTAAAGTTAAATGGCTTGTTGAAAATCATGGTCAATCTCAGGTCTTCTGACCCTAAACTCTGATGTTCTTCATCTCACACACTATCTTCTAGGAAGAGGTATAGTAAATACACAGCAAGATACTATATGTGCACTTCTACATGTTTTTGTTTACTTGTGGAAGGAAGGAAAAGACTTACAAAGAAAGGAAGGAAGGGTGAGTTTGAGAGTGACTTTGAGAGAATTCCAGCTGTATTTATTCCCTGTTCTCTTGCACCTCTTACAGCTGGCCACAGTGGCAGAAAACTTCTTTTAAAAGATGCATTTGGGGGCGCCGGTGGCTCAGTCAGTTAAGCATCTGCCTTCGACTCAGGTCATGATCCCAGGGTCCTGGGATCAAGTCCTGCATCGGGCTCCTTGCTCAGTGGGGAGACTGCTTCTCCCTTTCCCTCTGCTGCTCCCCCTGCTTGTGCTCACGCTCTTTCTCTCTCTCTCCCTGTGTCAAATAAATAAATAAAATCTTTAAAAAAAAGACGCATTTGGGTGGTTTGGAAGAGTCAATAACAAATCTCATTAATATACGCTATATCAGCACAGAGGGAGTTATATTTCCGGCCAATCAAAGAATATGGTAAGTTATTTAAATAATTCAAGAGAAAACTAGACAACCAAAGTAAAGGTAGGCAGAATTAGGCTATGTAAAATTTATTATTTATTTATTTATTTATTTATTTATTTATTTATTTATTTATTTATGAGAGAGAGTGAGCGAGCAGTGGGAGGGGGAGAAGCAGACTCTCTGCTGAGCAGGAAGCCTGATGCAGGACTCGATCCCAGGTCCCTGGGATCATGACCTGAGCGGAAGGTAGATGCTTAACCCACTGAGCCACCCAGCTGCCCCTGTAAAATTTTTTTAAGTTAAGCTTTTTCTGTGGCTTTATAAATTCTTGTGTTATAAATTTAAAGTTGAGTTCCTTAATACTTCTAAATCAATAATTTTGCCACAATTATTGCCCTTGGAAAATGATTGATTAGGGAAAGAAAAGAAAGGCTTAAAGATTCATCTAATAAGTAAAATATTCTAACAACTTCAAGGACAGCCCAGGAAAGGCTTCTGACCTTGGGCAATATTTCTTTCTAGTCCTCTATACCCACCTGATTGTGTCATTTAAAAGAATCTCCCTGTCAGCATGGCTAGCAGCAAGAGGTACAAGGGAACAAGGAATAAATATAGCTAGAATTCTTCCAAAGTCACCCTCAAGCCCACCCTTCTTTTTTTCCTTTGTTTTTTCCTTCCTCCTAATACCATGCCCTATGATAGGAAAACTATGATAGGAAATATAAATTCTGTCAGATAAAATGCTGGATATTTGAGAATACACATTCCTTTTGAAATTCCCTCCAGAAGTCTCAGACTGTTTAATAATCTGTGCAACCCTTACAATATTTTGTGATGATGCAATGCCCCCATTTTTCATTAGGGAAAATAGAGTACACAGAAGATTCCTGGGACAGAGAAGCTTGTGCGAAAGTCTATTTAAGAACCAGCTCTCTACCTCCTTTGTCAGTCCTTCCTCGTCTTTATTCAGTATCTACTTATAACTAAGGTTATGTTAAGAAAAAAAGTATAGGAGAAATCTCGTACTTGTTCAGGAGCTTGGAACTAAGGTGACATAGAGATCTTCAAGCTGATGGGGGTGTACCCCTGAGGGGAAATGAGGCTTTTCAAGGGAGTCACTACCAAGGCTACTTTGCAAGTGTTCAACATCCATATGCACTTTTGTCATGAAATGGACCTGAAAACTAGTTGCACTCAAGGTCTTCCCTTTTGCCAGTCTCCCATTCTCATCCCATAATAGGTGTCAACTCTTCATTTACCAACTTGCTGTGTTGTCTCTGGGACGTCACACCTGATGAACAATTTGAAATACAGTGTAGGCATGGAGCATGGGAATGACCTCAATGACCGGTTAACAAATCCTTCTGCAAGTCAGGTGGTTTTCAATTCTTTGTTTTCAAGAAAACCAAGTTGAGTTGTCAGCTGATAAGGTAGTAAAATAATTTTGGGTATTTTATCAGTCTGTGGTTTTTGATAAATCACTCACAAGTAGGTCAGAGAAGACACTGCAGCACAATATACCAAACCACTCCCATTCCTATCTATTTACTAATGTGACATGCACAAATACTACATTTGTACAGCATTACAAATAAAACAGAAAATGGAATAGAACAGATGTTCAACACTCAGCCGTAAATAATATTCGTTCATAGATCAACTAATTAAAAATAGAAGTCACCATCTTAAGAGATGCATTTCTACTCTTGCTTTTTATAGGTAATGGTTATCAAAACTTATAATGCATGTATGTTGTTTTGGTCAAATGTGTATTACTCATCATTGTAATGATAGCTCAGTACAGAAGAAATTTGACACATAGAAATTTACGTTCCTAAGAAAACTTTTAAAAGAGACAAAACACCCAGACTCTTTTTTTTTTTAAAGATTATTTATTTATTTATTTGACAGAGACACAGCAAGAGAGGAACACAAGCAGGGGGAGTGGGAGAGGGAGAAGCAGGCCTCCCGCCGAGCAGGGAACCCGATGCGGGGCTGGATCCCAGGACCCTGGGATCATGACCTGAGCCTAAGGCAGACGCTTAACGACTGAGCCACCCAGGCACCCCAAAAAACCCAGACTCTTAACTGTGGAGAACAAACTGATGGTTACCAGAAGGGAGGTGGGGTGGGGGATGGGTGAAATAGGAGATGGGGATTCAGGAGTGCACGTATCATGATGAGCATGGAGTGTTGTATGGAAGTGTTGAATCACTATATTATACACCTGAAACTAATATAACACTGTCTATTATACTGGAATTTTAAAAAATGTTTAAATTAAATTTTACTTTATTTTTTTATTAAAATTTTAGAGATTTTATTTATTCGTTTGACAGAGACAGAGCAAGCAAGCACAAGCCACAGGAGTGGCAGAGGGAGAGGGAGAAGCAGGCTCCTCGCTGAGCAGGGAGCCCGATGCGGGGCTTGATCCCAGGTCCCTGGAGCCATGACCTGAGCAGACGCTTAACCAACTGAGCCACCCAGGCGCCCCTAAATTTTACTTTATATAATAAAGTTGTCAATGAAAAAAATGTGTAAGGGGATACTGACAGCTTTTCAGTGCTCTCTCAGTATTATGTGAGCAAGAATATTTGCAGAACACTGGTGAAATGGACCAGGTGAATAGCCCATGGCGGCTGTTTCTCAAGCTGCAAGGCACGGCAGCTGTCATAAATGAGTTGCTAAAATTTTGATTAATATATGAAGTTTGTTTTGGCTACATACTACTAAGGTGATTGTCAGAAAAATAAATGAGTGGGTCATGCAGCTTGGGGTTGCTGCAAGGAAAAAGTAAGAGTCCTAGCACGGTGTCTAGCTGTTTCTAGGGAAGGAAGTGTGCCCCTGGAGTGTGTCCAAGTACACAGTCAGGCGGTCAACTGTTGTACTCAAACAGCAACTCCGTGCTAGAGGGCAGGGGTCAGCAAAGTCTTTCTATAATGGAGCATATCCTACATATTTTAGGTTTAATGGGACACAGAGTCACAACTACTCAATCCTGCCACATTAGGGCAAAAGCAGCCATAGACAATACTTAAATGAGTATGGTTGTGTTTCAATAAAACTTTATTTACAAAAGAAAGGTGAAGTGCCAGATTTGGCCTGGGGACGGTATTTTGCTAACCTGTGCCAAAAAGCAATCAGGTAAGTAGTTCTGTAACTAATCCTCACTTCCCATATGCCACAGAAATTTTAGTTTTCAAAAATACTCCTTAATCTTCAAAGTTTAGAAACGACTGGTGTGAGGAACAAATTGCCCTTTAATCCCTTGGTGGAATGAATGATTTATTAGAATCTTTCTCTCTCTCTCTTTTTAAGATTTAATTTATTTATTTGAGAGAGAGAGAGCTAGAGATCACAAGCAGAGGGGAAGGATTGAGGAAGAAGTAGACTCCCCGCTGAGCAGGGAGACACGCGGGACTCGATCCCAGGACCCTGGGACATGACCTGAGCTGAAGGCAGACGCTTAACCGACTGAGCCACCCAGGCGCCTTCTTTCTCTCTTTTTAAGACTATTACTAAATCTTAGCCAGCTTTTCAGTCCATCCTTCGCCTCCTTCACCGTCTTCTCTGGTACATCTGTTAGGGTGCAAACATGAGATGCTGTGAAGAAGGGAAAAGGAGCTGGAGAGTTCTGACAATCACACTTCATGTAACACGGGCTGACTCGTTCTGCAATAGAATGTCAGCTTCAGGAGAGAAGAAACATGCTCTGTTCTGGCCCATGTTCAATTCACTGTGCCAAGAACACGGTCTGGCACACGGCACATGCTCAATATCTGGTCAATGAACGACTACATGAACTAAAACAGGTCGAAATAATGTTGTTATAGGCTGTCCTAAAAATTTTTAATTCCAAATTTAATTGATGTTGATAAGATGCAGGAAGCATCTGAATTTGTTGACTGAAGAGAAAGTGATATTTCCATAAAACTTTAGAGGTAATAGGGACACTAGAGATCGAAGACTCCACCATTTCCTTTTTAGATACCAGGTTAAGAAAGCAGTGGCCCAGAAGGTCTGAGGAATGGGCTACGCATGAGTTAAGGGACGAAACAGGATTAGAACTCCTACTTTTAGTCTAGAGCTTATTTCACTTGACAGTGCTGCTTCTCATCAGATTTTCTTTTTAGAGATGCAAAACCCTAATTTCTAATCAAATTCATTCTCTAAAACTTGGTGGGCTGTTTCTGTTTGACTGTTTTGTTTTTAGGACCGATAACTTATTTCCTGCTTTTGCAGACACTGGAATGTAAGCTTTCAAATGCAGTATAGGTGAAACATTTTGGTTGTCTGGATTATAGATGTCTCTAAGTTTTGCCACTGCTTGTTTGTAATCCCCACTGACAATGCAGATGTTTATGGCTGGAGAGAGCAGAAATCCCACATACTAGTTATCTTTTTTTTTTTTTT